ACAACACCGTCGGTCTGGAGACCATCCCGGTGACGCTGAGAATGCCCGTCCTTAAGAAAAACCTCAGCTGCTTCTCTTCAACCGGCTACTCCCTGGAGTTTCAGCTCGTCACCGTGGCGTGTATATGTGCTCTCTCCCGGCACAGCTTGGACTAAATGTGTGGAAGTCGAATTAATGAAAATATTTGCTTTATTCTTTTAAAAAGGGGAGAATTGTGAATAGTAAGAAATAATAAAATTCAATCATCTCTTTCTTGTCAAAAGTGAAAATGTAATGACTGAATACCTGTTTCCATCTTGTCATTCATCTTAAATCATAAAAATAAAATAACTATTACTCTCTGTCAGACCTTATTAAAAACTATATCTCTCTTACACTGCTGCCACAGTGTATGAAATATACATAAAGACTATTATTTGCAAATTACTGAAGTTCTTCACGGAAGAGTCAGTGTATTTTTCATTCATTCAACCTTTATTTATACTGGTTAGTTCCCATTCAGCCTCAAAGACTCATTTACAAGACAGACCTGTTACATACAACATACAGAGTAGACGAGGAAAAGAGAACACAAGGGTGGAGGAAGTAAAAAAATAAATAAATAAATCACATGTCACACAATGTCCTGGCTGGGGCAGAGTGTAAATGATGAAAAAAAAAAGACCTGGCAACGTACAATGACATCATAATACATTTATGCATCGAGGTCGACAAAGGTGGTGAGTTATCCATAAACACTCAAGAAAGTTCCAAAGTTCTGATAAGATGGTACAGTGTCTATCAGCATCATGGTTCTGATAAGCCCTATAGATGTCCTCGGCGGGGGGGGGGGGTGGTGGGGGGGTGTCAGGCAGAGCTTAGTTTACATATCATCCAGGAGCAATGTGAGGTAAGTTGACCTGTCCAAGGTCAGCGGGGAGGCCAAATTCAGATAATCATGGACATTCCACCGGTCCGTGCTTGTTTGGTTTTTCCAAGGTCAAATCCTTCTGGTGAGTCCTACGAGCTGCAAGTGGCCCACAATTCTCAGAAATCACGTCCAACTTATGGTTCAGCTGCAAAGCATATTAGTCTGAGAGCTCAAAGCACAGAGTAATCCTTCATATACCTGTAAGGCTGGCTTTACCATGGCCAAAACTGCTGCCGACGTCTTCCTTATTAGCCGATAACCTAGGTATCCGCCGATTCCAAAAAGCAAAAACCCTGTTATCATAAATCCAATTATGTATGCATCTTCTACGTCCTCAACACAGATAGACAAATCATCTTCCAAACACCCCAGGAATCCATAACATATCCAGCTGCTGCCTTCAGGGCATGAGGTGATGATCTAAAGGTAGTTTTCTGATACAAATCCTGGCTGAAATATGCATTCACACAAAGCAGAAAAAGTATTAGTTGTAGCTTAAAAATATTTATGTGAAAGAGAACGCTCTTGCTACGATTTGACTCCTTTCTTTTTGTTCTTACTATGATATTAAGCTCCTGGCAACTAGTAAAACATAGATGCCCATGTAATGTGTCTGTATATTATAAAGGGGTGAATTAGGGATTGGATTAGAAACCATGTGCTCAAACAAATTTGTTATGCCCCGTTTACCATCTCTAGGATGCACCCCTTGCCAAAAAAAAGAAGGTGTGAGCATGCGTCTTCCTAGATGGCACTGTTGCATCAAATTTTGGGTCTGGGCCCATCATCTAAATCTAAATGCATTGTACTCAGAGTATGTGTAGGGGACAATGCTCTGCAGCAAATTGTAGCTCAAATGATTGAGTTAGAGTCATTTATGTTTCCCAAGATTTGCTGGTTGTGGCAGCCATCTTTAATCATGTTGACTCCACAGATTAATCAGTTGTAGAATATTCAGTGATTACTTTCTGCAAGTCTATTTATAATTTGTACAGTGGGATAATGAGACATTTTGAGAAAAGACACAGGCAAAAACATAATAGACATTCTTACAGTTGCTAATGTGCATGCTCAAAGTCAGTATTTTGAGACACTTTTGAGGTTTAGATAGTTCATGCCCACTTCTGGTTCGCGGAAATCTACTTGTCTAACAGTGTTCATATCTGTTTCAGCTATGCTCTGCAATCATTTCAACACCTGGGAACATTGCATGTTCATTCATTCAACCTTTATTTATACAGGTTAATTGCATTGAGCCTCGGGGACTCATTTACAAAGACCTGATTTTAACAAAGAATGATGACAACAGTGGACAACAATAGACAGTCATAAGGATGTATACAAATTATGTTTTTTAAACAAGTGAAAACAAAATGGTAATTAAAAGGAAAAGTCGCAAAAAACAGCTATTCATTACACAGTAAGGTGTAGAAAACTAAAAACACGAACATGTCTGCATTGATATCATACATGTTACTATCACAAGGTAAAATACCAATAAAACTAATTTACAAACACGTTTTTCTTCAACACTTAATAAAAAAACAGATGTAAAGGACCAAAATAATGGAGCGTAACACTGACCGGAAATAGCTGAGAAACTATTTGTGGGCGTGGTGCCCGATTTTACGCATGCGCATTACTTACTCCAGCGGAAGTTAGCGAGTCCTCCATAACTGTCCAATGGGAAGTTGATCTTACCATAGATATGTAAACACTCTGGATAGGGCACCTTCCGATTTTACGCCTTCGAATGACGGAAGCCCTGTGTCTTCGCACTTATCATTCAGTGAATTACGTTCAGTCTTTTGTCTGGTTGAAGAAGGGCGTGTTTCGCTAACTTGTTGGTTACTGTTCTGTAGTGGCGTCCTGAAGAGAGCTGCTTAGACTCTGGTAAGGTCAATAAAAAGTACTCAGGCCTAATAATTTAACATTTCTACTCAAATCTAACTGATAACAATTGTGTTTTGTTGTCGACGTTATGCACAGTAAGCAGTCGACAGGGTTTGATTCGCGTTGACAAATATCGCTTGTCTGGAACATAAAACGTGAAGCACAGCTAACTTTAAACCACTTTGCCCACGATTCGCGCTTTAATATCATTGTAACTGTGTGCACAACTTTGTTTCTCTAGTTGTTTTTTCCTCTTAAACGTGATGAAATTTAATTTAAACATCCCAGCGAATACAGAGAGCTCCTAACGGTGTTGGCTAGCTGTCGCCCAGAGTAGAACGGAAACAGCAGCTTGGTTTAAAAATAAAGACTGCAATCTTGTTTTTAGTGTTTTAGGTTTGCTTTTATGGAAAACTAGCATGTCATACACAAATGCATGTTGCCCGCTTCGTTACAGCCTTTTTATGTATATATATTTTACTGTTTTTACTCTTTTGATCAAATTTTGAGGCAAGATCTCGTGCGCGATTGTGAGATCTCGCGAGATTTGTCTGTGCTTAGATTATAGGTTGCGACTGACTCTCAGCTACCACACTAAATTTTAGCTCAATATCTGTAAACTGGACTGAGCTACAGCCACTTCATTGTTATTTATTATTGTTTATAACTGTGGCGGCCATCTCAACTTAAGGAGACTAAAATTTAAAAAGTATTAGGTCTATGTCCAATAATAACTCGCTGAGAGTTTTATTAAAGTTTATCCCTTGGTTTAGGACTTTTTAAAAATAATCGGATAAACAGGGTTGATAGCAACAGTTAATGTCGAAGTAGGTAAGAGACAAGAAAATAAAGTCCATGAAATGTTATTTATTTATTTTTTTTTATTTATTTATTTTTTTCATTTAGCCTTTATTTATCCAGGTTAGTCTCATTGAGCCACGATAACTCATTTTCAAGAGAGACCTGTTTAGGGAGCACATGGTGGGGGTTAAGGGCCTTGCTCATGGGCCCAGAGTGGGGCGAATGAGGGTGGGGGCAAGTGTGGGTGTTTCACCTACCCCACCCACAATTTTGATGTTGTTGGGGCCGGGGCGTGAACCGGCGATCTTCAGTTTTATATGCAATGGATAGAGCTTGATAAAACAAATAGACTGACACCAAGATTGTCAGGATTGGTGAAGAATTAAGGAAGTCTTGGTAATTTTAGTCTATAAAAAAAATACTCATTTGTCATTTTTTAACATTGAAAACATGGCATCGAATTGCATCAAACAATAAATCAACATAACTTCTTAATTTCTTGCGGTAATTGGATGGCATTTTCAGGAGAAGTGGAAAATGACGTTCTTTACATCGGATGATTATGAATGAATTATTTAATTAATAACTGTAAACCACTTAATCTAGGGCTTTCATATAAACAAAATAGGCACAAATATTCAAACTAAATGGACAAAATTGAATAACCGAGAATCAAAGAGAAGCCTATTCTGCTATTTTTCAACCTCATTCGGGCTCTCAAAAAACATTCTCAGCATCAGATTGTCATAAGTCGGTCAATATTTAGACAAAATATTATATTTTAGTGCTATCTACTTTTCATTGAGTGCTGTGAACTCGAACATGCTTTTTAAACTTGTTGAAGTAGAGCTACAAAAAATGCATAAGGAAATACCCCGGGGGCAAAACAACAACACAATAATTTGAGGGAGACTCACACACACACACACACACACACACACACACACACACACACACACCATGAACATACTCCAGCAGAACTTGCACATCGGCCATGGCGTGGCGAGTGTCTTGAACCTGGCCGAAGCTTTCCATAACTGTCCAGCACAGTGTTCATCCAATGATTACTTTCTGGAAATGTTAACATTCGTTCAGTCATAAAATGCTTCAAACAAACGAAAATATAATTTTGCTGATTTGTGTTTGAAGGCAAGTGTTACAAATAATTCCTGCACAGACAGAACATTCTCCAGGTGGTGGATGTTTAACTCTGTAAATTTTGATGCATTGTATTATTTTTAATTCCCATATAGGATTAAATATTTTATTTTACAGGAAATGCTATAAATTTTTATTTTCAATCAAATGTAGTTGGTTTTTTTTTTTGATTGATGTCTTTTAGTCACATTTTGAAACAAATCCCACTCAGTGGGGCCTACTTTTTAATTCACTGTTTACCAGAGTGCTAACTGCTGCCGGAGACCTGACGTGACTGATGGAGGAGGAGGCCCGGTGCTTCCTGAGCAGGTTTGTGGAGGAGTTCCCTGCTGCTCTGGAGGACGATCATCCGTTGCCCGTTAATCCTCTGAGCCGCAAAGTGTCCCTGGAGGAGCTGCATGGAGAGAGTCTGGACCTCGGGCTGAGGCTGCTCTCTGCCAGGTATGTGTGGGAGGGAGACGCACACAGGATGAACTTCATCTTTTTCTTTTGTCATGGTTAGAAAGGACCACCCCTGCAGCAGAACTAGGAGGGCAGGGCTTAGTGACCCACAAGTGTCTGATAGATCATTACATAAACCCATTTAGAAAGTTAAGCCAGGATCATACAGAGTGTGTACAGGAATGACAAGGTTGCGTGAAATATCTTTTTATTTTTTATTTTAACTTGTGTTTCTCTTTAAATACAGTAGAGATGTTTGAGTCGTTTTTTTTTTTAATGGAGGAAAACACAAATAAAACTCAGACTGAAAAAACAAATTCCAAAAGTATTTTTTGTTTTTTCAGACCTTCCAGATATTTTAATCAAGACTTGATTAAAAACAAAGCGATACAGAATGGAATAACATGCACCGAGGTGAAAATACAATATTAATGAAACATGAAACGCACACGCTGAGCTTCTCAGCTAGTTGAGTGTCATGTAGGAAAATTATTCTTTATATCAGAGGTGCTGAATAATCTACAAATTCCTGCTGTACAGGTTTATGGGGGCCGAGAAGGTGTAGAGGCAGGGCAGTTGGCTTGGGACCCGAAAGTCCCAGGTTCGATCCCCAGTCACTGCATAGCGCTTGGTGTCTCTGGGCAGCACACCTCATCCCCAAAATGCCCCCCCCCAGGCGCCTTCAATAGCTGCCCACTGCACCACCTGGTGGTGGATGGGTTAAATGCAGAGAGAGACTAATTTTGCCATTGTATAGAAACATACAGTGCTGACGTTGTGATGACATTATTATTATTATTAAAGGCACTTAGTTTTTGCCATATTGGACCTGTTGTCACTCTCTGCTGTAGCTGATCCTGATCACTCTGACCTCAGAGCTTTTACACACAAATAGACAAGTTTTTAAGCTTTTGCTTGTTATTCTTCACCAACCTTCAATGCTTTGTTGATGTCCCCCACTGTGGAGCGAAGAGTGGGGATTAGAAATAGCCTCTGTCCATGTTGTGAGCATGATGACTTGAAAATAATTGAGGTACTGACTGTATTTTGGTGCGTGGCTGCATCTAGGCGTAGGAAAGGTCACTGTCAGAAATTGGGTAGCCACGTCAAGATATAGATCTATATAAAATAAAACCAGTCATCCCATTATTTGAGAAAACTATTCTTGAATACTTTTACTGTTGTACCCCTAATGTTTACCAGCCCAATGAACCAAGACAAAACCAGCTAGAAACACATTATTGTCTCAGCAGCAGAGTTTATAAGCTCTGGCACCATCGTAAATGTCTCAGCAACAAGAAAAGGTAAATATTTCACATCAGTATGCATTTATATAATTTTTAAAGTTTGCAAAATATGGTTAAAAATCTTGACTAGACAGAAAATAATTGACCTTCCAAATTGTCTTGATTTTCTCAACTCTGTAATCCTCCCATTGTGTGCTTGCATGTTTGCACAAGAGCAGTGGCATTCCTCACATTCTTCTCAGCTCTGCCTCATTCAGGATGAACAGCTAGCTTTGCTGGATACAAGCCCTCTGACAGAATAAATGTTGCTGATGGTGTGGAAAAGTAACGGCACAATATGGCAAATGAGTACGATACAGAATATCAAGCTGAACACTTGGTGGACAATGAATCCAACTGATTTTATTTTCTTTAAGACCCAGACATCTTTACATGCTGTCTACTTTCCAAACTTCTTTTTGCTACACTTACTGCAGGAATGTAGGCGACAAAAAACATTTGTTCCCTGATTAGACAGTTTAATTTGTGGCGTTTTGTAATGTTTCTGTGTGAGGCTATCAGTTAATGTTCTATAATAAAGTCGGACACTTGTTACTACAACAGAGGATGAATTCTCACATGGTTGACCTCTGTTTGTGAAGGCAGCAGTGCAGCAGAATGCTCCTTTTCCTCAGGTTTTTGTCTCCCGTCATGGAGCAAACAGTGGGAACTGGAAAACCCTCTGTCCGTGTTGTGAACGTGATAACTTGAAAAACATGTGAGGACCAACTTCCAGTTTGGTGTGTGGCTGCATCTAGACTTAAGAAAGTTTCAAAGACTGGGTTGCCAAGTTAAAATCCAAGATGGCCACCACCAGTGTTTCCTCTACCATTATTCAAGGAGAGCGTCCCGTTTACCAAATCCCCCCCCCCGGCAGCTCTTCCACTTCTGGACAAGGAATGTAGTTTAGCAGCTCAGACTCCAATCACCACCTCCTCATCGAGAACTGACGGCACTAAGCTAACAAATACACACACGCAATACAGAAGTCATGCTCCGTTTCTCCCATCTCCCCCCCATCAGCAAAAATGCTTAAGTCACGAGCGCCCTCTCAAGACAAGTAACCTAGGGAAAACACCACCACCATATCACCCCATTCATTTGAGGAAACTATACTTTATATGTTTTATACTTCTCTAAAGTATAGTTTCCTCAAATGGTCAGTGTGACCTAAGATTAATCTATAGGGCCATGTCCACCACTGGTCACCCCCTGGCTCCTCCATTGCACCTGGTGGTGGATAAAATTGCTCCCACTACTTGCCAAGATCCGTCACTCTGCACTGCCTCAGTCAAGTAAAAAATGTCTGTAGTGCAGAAAAACACCAAAAATAATTCCTTTCAAGAAAAACACTCATCTTGAAAACTACAAAAATTCACTAGTTAAACCCCCGAGCAAGGGGGACATGGGTGTAGCGCTTCGATGTAATCACTGCCAGCTCTCAGGCTTACAGCCTCAGTCAATATTTTATGTAAGAGAGCGTCAACAGCGGTGATCTTTGCAAATCCAGTGTTTTTAGCAAAGACAGTTACTGTTGTCACAAAAACTTTGGTGTTTTTCTTCAAAGTGCAGCATGATACCTTGTGGACAAAGTGTGCTGCTGTAGAGAGAAGCTGTTTGGTTGGTGGTGCAGTTTGAGGTGCTCATCTTCAGAGTCAGAGATTCTTTGTCATTCGCACCACATGTGGTACATGTGGTGGAGCAAAATTATGTACGCAGGGTCCCAGTTACATCCAACAATAAAATGTATAAGAAAAAAGTAATAACATCTAAGATATGAACTAAGAAAAACATCAACTAAATATACACTAAGCACTAATAGCATAAAAACATTACGTCAAACAGCAGCACGAACATGAGCATGAGTCTGTGTTAGCATATGAGCACGCATGAACACATCAACATTGAAACAGATCAGCAGCAACATGATGTGATTCTTCACAGTGATTATTCTGGTTAGAGATTCATGAGTCTAACAGCCTCAGGGTAGAAGCTGTTCCTCAGTCTAGTGGTTCTACACTTAATGCTCCTCAACCTCCTTCCTGAGGGGAGCGGGGCAAAAAGTGTGTGTGCTGGGTGAGTGGGGTCCTTCATGATGCAGGTAGCCCCTCTTCCTGCATCTCGTGGCAAAGACATTTCACTCTGTTTGGGTTTGTTTAAGCTCATTTGTCTTGAACTAGATCCTGAGTCTGCTTGTACACAGACCCTTTCCAAAAAATTAGAGTATCATGGAAAAGTTGTTTAACTTCCATAATTCCATTCACAAAATTAATCTTTAATAGATGATAGATTCAGGGCCCACAGTTTAAATGATTTCAAGTATTTTTATTTGTTTATTTTTATATAATTTGATCTTCCAGCTCATGAAACCCACGAAAACAGGATTTCAAAAAATTAGAATACTGTGAAGAAATCAGCCCACACTAATCAGTTTTTTTCAGGAAAAAGAAAGATATTAGAATCACAACAAATCAATCAAAATATAGTACTTTCAAAACAATACTTGGGTGGGAATCCCTTTGCCTTAATCACTGCTTCGATGTGACGTGGCATTGAGTCAATCAGTCTGTGGCATTGCCTGGGAGAAATGGAAGCCCAGATTTCCTTGATTCTTGCTGTCAGCTCTTCTTTGTTGTTGGGTCTGGTGCCCCTCCCTCATTTGCCTCTTGAGAATACTCCATAGTTTCTCAGTGGGGTTTAGGTCCAGCGAGTTGGCTGGCCAGTCAAGCACTATGTCATCAAACCAGGTTTTGGTGCTTCTGGCGGCATGGGCAGGGGCCAGGTCCTGCTGGAAGATGAAATCTGCATCTCCATACAGATCCTCAGCAGAAGGAATCATGAAGTCCTCTAAAACATTCTGGTAGACTGTTGCAGTGACCTTGGATTTAAGAAAGCAGAGTTTACCAACACCTGCACCGGACATTGCACCCCAAATCATGACTGACTGTAGATATTTCACACTGGACCTCAACCAGTATGGGCTCTGTTCCTCACCCTTTTTCCTCGAAACCCTTGGACCTTGATTTCCAAATTAAAGCCACATTTTACTTTATTTGGAAAAGAGGACCGAGGAACCAGACCGTTGTAGTCCATCTCCCGGATGTGTCTGAATGCGGTGGTTTTTGAAGCTGTGACTCCCGCCTCATTCCACTCTTTCTGGATCTCTGCCAGATTCTGGAATCTTCTCTGTTTGATAATCTGCTGAAGCCCACGGTCATCTCTTTTGTTGGTGCATCTTCTCCTGCCACATTTTGCCCTTCCACTAGACTTTCCATTGATATGCTTGGACACAGCACTCTGTGAACAGCCAGCCTCCTTAGCTATGAACTTTTGTGGCTTACCCATCCTATGGAGGGAATCAATGATGCTCTTCTGACCAGTTATGTCTGTAGTCTTCCCCATATTGAACAGAACTGAGACAATTGAACCAAACTGAAGCAATTTAATGACACCTGGGGAAACCTGTGCGGGTGCTTTGAGTTTAGTAGATGATTAGTGTCACGTCACACTCAGTTTAAAACATTCATTCTCTGCAACATTTGGGCTGATTTCTCCACAGTATTCAAATTTTTTTAAATCCTGTTTTTGTGGGTTTCATGAGCTGGAAGATCAAATTATGTAAAAAATAAACAAATAGCATTGGCAAGAATCGGCTGCCAGTTCAGCGTACTGCATTTATTGATCTCTTCTACAATATCCTCACAGGTCACTGTAAGCTTTGAATGTAGAGAAGTGGCCAAATAACAAGGTCTTGTCTCTTGTGTGAGTCTATCCTCATCAGAAAGTTCAACTTCTGGTTCAATAGTTTGATCTTCTAACTGGTCCAGGTTTGATCTAGCACCGATCAAGGTTTTCTGTCAACCGTCATCAATGATGACCATGGTCAATGATGGTTAGTATTGATAATAGTCTTAATTGGTTGTGATTAGTAGAAGACGGCAGGACATCATAATGACTCTTGGCAGGAAGCTGATTTGTGCAGCTTTCATGCCTCGCAGGTCTCTTCAGCTCCAGTTACTATTTTGAACATTTTCCCACCTGGTTGAATGTCCTTGCTTTGCTTGGTCTTTGTACACTTTGTTGACTCTTTTATTCATCTCACCTCTTCAACAGACAAAAATATGAGCTGAGGAGTTGTTGTCTGTCACAGTGGTCGGTTTTCTCCAAGTCCTCCTTTCTGTGCTGCACATGACCAACACGTCCTGATGGACTGAGAGAAACTGCCCTAATTCATCTGTGTTTTTATTCAGGGCTGCTCCATCAAGCCTCAGTGCCCTCTTGTGCCAAGCAGCTCTGTCCCAACTTCTGAAGGATGACCTGTCATCTTTCCACTGTCCCTGTGAAGCCGAGGTCAACCAGGAAGAGGAAGAGAAAGTAGTCCGTAAGATTTCAGCTACTTTCAGTTCTATATATTTACTGTATATATTGATGGATATTAATTTCCTTAAATTTAAATCTTTACTAAACAAAGATGAGAGATTATAGTTTTCTACCATATTTTTGGCTGTATAAGTTGCAGGGTTTTTTGCATAATTTGCATGCCCTGTGACTTGTACACCGAAGCGATGTATTTTTGTTTTTTTCCATATTTATAAACCAATTTTTGGCTGAGATATGACTGTTTTTATTCATTCTGATTGAAAATATTGAACACTACCATTTTCAGCCGCTAGATGGCACTCAAGTAGTATGGCGTGCCATTGAATCATGTAATAGTTAAAAGTGGCTATTAATGACACAATCGGCTTGCCATAATCTGCCACCATCGTCTGCCTGGAGCAACCGTCAAATCAGCTTCATTTCACTGCGCTGCCCCGGTGAAATGAAGCTGATTTGACCGTCACAGTGCATTTATTAAGTAAAAGTTCAACTGAGACACACCTTTACTATATAAAGTCGAACAAACAAATAATTGTTTTTAAGTGTTAATCTTGTTAAATTCTTGTTTAAGTCCTCCCATGCCCGCCCCTGTGGCCGCCATTTGGCGTCCAATCGATTTTTGGCACAACACTGGCCCACATTTCCAGGTTGTCGGCAGTTACGCATAATAATAATAATAATAATAATAATGTCATCACAATGTCAGCACTGTATGTTTCCATACAATGGCGAAATTAGTCTCTGCATTTAACCCATCCACCACCAGGTGGTGCAGTGGGCAGCTATTGAAAGCGCCCGGGGGGCATTTAATAGATGCAACGTATACGGCGAAGTGACTTATTTATGGATTTTTCCACTTTATTAGACATATTTGGACTGATGCGACTTATAGGACGGTGACACGTGTATGGCAGAAAATACTGTATATGTAAACCAGATAATTTCTCACAGTTTATGCAGTCAGTGTCTGCTTTCATTTGTTTATTAATGCACAAAATAATTAATTACTAAATTCTGTGAGACGTTTTATCCTCCTTGATGCAGGAGGCAAAAAGTTTCTGTAGAATTGCTCATGCTTTGATTAAAGTATATTTTTGTCCCCCATCGCTGTATGAAGATGGGGAATTGGAATAACCCCGTCTTTATATCTGTGCTTGTTGTGAGCGTGAAAACTTGAAAAATAAGTGAGGTACCAACTTGCATTTTGGTTTTGGACTACATCTAGGTGTAAGAAAGTTTCCCTTTGAAAACTGGGTTGTTTTGCCAGAATCCAAGATGGCTGCCATCATATATGTGGCCATATGACATTAACATG